ACTGCAAAATCTAAAATCGTTACGGAAGCTTTGTTGTTTGAGAACAAGCTTTGAGGAATTACAATTTATGCCACTGGCCTTCTTTTTTCTAGAAAAAAAAAACCAAAATGAGTACAGAAAAGAACTATCATTTTTTATTTGTACAGTCAGGAAACTTTGTTAACCTTACGGATTGTGCATTTTCGTGATTCAGATGCTTTAATCACGGAATAATCTCGAAGTCTCACATTCGCCACCCACAGGAAGAAGGAAGTTCTTAGCTCTTAAGAATATGATGCCTTCCCTTCTTCATTTTACATTCATTCATTCATGCTCAAGTAGTTTCGTTGGAAAATTTAAGGAAAGGTATTTGGACAAAAGAACAGGCTCATCATCGTGCTATATCATTCTCTAAACAAGCATTCAACACAAAGAATGACAAAAAATCGTGCTTAGACCATATTTAGTATGCCAAAAAAAATCTACCTCTAATCAACTTTATGCACAGCAAAAATATTCTCAGTAATGTAAAGCGCATTCAAACTCAAAAGCTTTTTCCATAAAGTACTTTGCATCCATGCGTGAACGACCTACGCAACCGTTAAAAAATTCACCATCAATAATTTATAGACTTTACTATTCAAACACTTTACTCTCACATTTTTGCAGAACATTATGGGTCAAAAGTCAACCTGGAACAGTTAAATGACGAAATTATTACTCCAGACTAATTACAACCATTACCAATGGGTCAAGAAAGGGTTGCTGGAATATGACGAATTTTTTACGTCATTGAAAGTCTAGTGCGCAAGTAATCGTTTTATGCTTTACTCTTTGCACGAACGCTCATAAGAGAACTAGATTTTGAAGCTAGGCCATTTTGCAAAAGTCTGAGAAATTTATGCAAGAGATTTTGCAAAGAAGTCGAGCAGAATTACATCGAAAATGTATTGCACTCATGTTAAATGTCTCAAGATATCATGACTACCAAACAAAGAACTCCAAGCTCAAGGGGTTCGAAACGGAGAATGCAATTTTCCAACGAGGAAAAGTACGTGAGCTGGGAAGAGAGAAGGTACATCTTGCCAAAATTAGGGTTTTTGCAATACATGCTTATATGGATACAACTACTCATTAATTATTCACAAAAATTTATTTTTGACTATTAGCCCGCAAAACGAGTCTTTCCGGTTCCACCATTCGTAGCTAACTCAAGTTGCAAATTCACTACCATTCCTAGGCCTTTCATTTTTTTTTTGCCTGTGAATCAACAGCGATTCAAAAAAAACTTTTCTCGAGAGAAGAGAAACATTATTTTGTTATCAAGGAACTCTTCCAGGAAAGTACAAATTTCTATGAATGCATTGTCTACCATGATATGGAGAGACATGCAAGATAGACCTATGAAACCAAAAACAGCTTTCTGTTTGCAAAATGCATGCATTTTTCTCACGTGGGCCAATAATGGAATATTAATTCTTCTCGGGGGAACATCGATAAAAATGAGCGAGGGGGAGGCTCGCCCCCAGAGAACATTTTCCAATAAAATAAATCACTTTTCTGTTACTACTTATGCAATAAACGTTTCCACATCCTCAACTGAAAGGCTAAAATTTTAAAATCGATCAATATTAATACCCTTCAACCGTATGAAGAAGCCACTGGCAATAAGGGGAGAAGGAGGATGGATCGGAACTCGCTGCGTGACCGCAATAAAATTTGGCTTCAAAGATTAAAGTAAAGAGACGTACTATAGCTATTTTCTTGCCTTCGTTTCGTCAAATTTGGAACTTTAAAACCCCGACGATAGCCCTCTTGGGCTACGTCGAAAGTAGAGAAGTTCACTTTTCCTTTTCAGGATAAGCTAAAGACATGGAAACCTCCAAGCTTGGTAATACACAAAATAGGCATACTCTTACATTCATGAACAAATGAAAATTCACGGCAATGGTGAACGTCTGTTCGATTTTTGTATACTTCCAAAAATTCGTATTGTTAGAGTCCCCTCCCCCCCCCCCCCCCTAGAAACATTTTGATTTCAAAATGATGTCATAAAACTGCGCAAGTAAATAATTATTTGGCACGGTACATAACGAGATGCTGAAATTTTCAACAGCTTCTCAAAGAAGTTAATACGAAAGCGCAAAATTCAAAGGTTTCCATTTTCAGAAACCCGATCAGAAGGACTTTTTCAATAAACCAATACTGTGCTATTATGTTTAGAAAACACGAACAATTCTAAATCTGGTTTAATTGTGCTTGGGAAATCCGATACTCACAAAATCATAGCCAAAGGATCGGATTCAAACACATAAATTAATAATATTTATGTCTAGGTGTGGTCCAAAGTGCATGAGAAGCCAAAGTCCATTCAGCCATTTTCCTTTGTTTAGGACACACGAAGTCCTAACAAGCTTGAGAATCTTGATTTTTATTCATAAAAAGTTATGAGTTAAAACAAATACAGGGACTTATAATCTAATTGAAGGATCTATTAGGTTGAACCGAAAGTTCTGTCGCACGATTTTCAAAAAATCATAGCTTCTTTCCGTCACGACGATTTTGCATAAAAAATATTTTTTCAGAAAGCGTAAAGCATGTAGTTTCCAAATGTCCCTTGGGGAATTTCCAACATGCCCAGGTTGCAGAGATAAAAATGGAAGAACGAGATCATCCGAAACTCGGAATTTTTGAGCAAGAATTCTAGAAATTCGGAAACTGTGCGATAAAATCCAGGACCATTACCCTAATTTTTCTTGCGTTTGATTACTAACTGAGTCAAGTTTGTGCTGATCGAGCCCTTCTTTCAAAAGTTATGATTTTTTGAAAGAAGATGCCGAAAAATCAATTCCTCAAGAATTCTTAGGAAAATGATTTTTCGGCATTTTCTTTCAAAAAATCATAACTTTTGAAAAAAGGGCTCGATCAGCACAAACTTGACTCAGTTAGTAATCGAATACAAGAAAAATTAGGACAATGGCTTTTCTGGATTTTATCGCACAGATTCTGAATTTCCAGAATTCTTGCTTGAAAATTCCGAATTTCGGATGATCTCGTTCTTCCATTTTTATCTCTGCAACCTAGGCATATTGAAATTCCCCAGATGACTTTTGGAAACTACATGCTTTACGCTTTCTGATAAAATTTGAATTGTGCAAAATCGTCGTGACGGATAGAAGCTATGATTTTTTGAAAATCGTGCGACAGAACTTTCGGTTCAACCCAATATTTGGGTGAGTGATAACTGCAAACTTCGTTATGTATGTTCTATTTTTCCTCCTCATGGACACATTCAGCATACAAATCCAATTTGGGCGATGCCATGGAGATTCCTGGTTAAGAGGAATCGGGAACACGAAAAAATAACGGGTTTTATATTGTAGAAAATTCTTGATACAAGTTAAGAGATTTATTGACTACTCTTCTTTCATGAAAATGTATGAATACATAATCAAGATTTATAGGATGTCTGCAAGCTATAAATCCTGGTACCATATTTTACGAGAGTGATAGGCCAATACTGATTGCTATAAATGTTTGTAGAGACTCTTCTTCCGCTAAGGCTAAAAACTTCTTTGAAAGAAACGGTCTTCCATAGCAGCCACGATTGGTCTTCGAACTGAAGAGGATTGTAATATGATAACCTAATGTCTCTTTATTTCCGTCTAGTCGATTGAGACATGCAGATGGCAAACGTCGCATGTTATTATATATCACACGCGATGAAAGCGCCAAATACTAGCTCGTTTTACGCACCAAATATGGAATGTATGTCATAAGGTGATTTTTGACTATAGTTATTGCCAGACTGGCGTCAAATACCAACAATTCGTGTCTAATGCTTTATACCTTCTGAAAATTTCTTTTGGGGATGGAGGGAGGGGGGGTGGGGGAATACTTAGGGCCGCATGCACTAAACTCCCCGCTGGGAAGGGGATCGCAGCTTAAAATAAAGCTTTATATTTCGAAACTTCAGGTATCTGGATTTCACGTTGTGTACCTATCCGTAAGTATTCCTACTACCCTTCACTATGAACATGTTGAAGAGGAGCGAGAAGCTGTGTGAACTGCATTTTCCAGCTTTTGTATGATCCCTGATGATCCCCGACGCTTTTCTTTCAAGTCATTTTTCTTTCTCCGAAGTTAACGAAAACCTTCCAAAGTTATACTGAACATCTAACACAACATTGCTAAGCATGTTGCTGATGAGAACAAATGAATTGAAAAATCGACTTTTTCGGTAAACCCCATCGACCTGTGGGTCATCGAAAATTTCATGACTTCAAAACATCATTTGTTCTTATCAGCAACATGCTTAGCACTGTCGGGTTAGATAATCTGCACAACTCTGGAGGTTATTCATTAACTTCGGAGAAAGAAAAATGACTTTAAAGAAAAGCGCCGGAGATCATTAGCGACCATACAAAAGCTGGAAAATGCGATTTGTACAGCTTCTCGCTCCTGTTCAACATGTTCATAGTGAAGAATAGTAGGAATACTTACGGATAGGTACCTACACAATGTGAAATCCAGGTATCTGGAGTTTGGAAATATGAAGCTTTCTTTTGAGCTGTGATCCCCTCCCCGCGGCGATGTTAGTGCATGCGGCCCTTAGATAGTCGCATAGATTGTACACACTTTTCAGAAAACTGGGAGTATTGAGTGTAGAAAAACTACAGGCAACAAATAGAGATTATGTGAGTAATTGAACCAAATTTTATAAAGCCCCCAGTTCAACGAACACAATCGAAAAGCAAACTAGCATTTTTTGAGATATTTTGAGGGCATAGCGCTGGCAGTTCTGAGCTGCTAGATAGAAATTCATCTTTGACCACCTATTTCAGAAATGCTTTGATGGGAATTATTTACACAAGAGGGATTGGCGGAATAAATCTAACACCTAGTGCATTATATCAATGACTCCAATACGTGGGTAGGAAAAACTTGTAAAACGGATAGTATTCTTAACACGCATGAATGGCTTCTATGAAATATGAACATTTACTCTTGAAAATACCGACTTTTTCCCAAAGTACTGAGCAACACGGATAGGAAGTGAGCAGTATTGTTGATAAAAAGCAACACAATAAGCATACGATATCCAAGGATGAGGTACATGCACTACATTTTCAAGAGAAAATTGGTAACAATATTTCACGCCAGCTTGTTAACGTATATGAGGAGCTCAGACATGACCCAGACTCTGAATATTCACCTACTTGCACTTATAAAAAACTAGTTCTTTTCAGTTTCTTCGCGGTTCGATGGCGTTAGTGTGGATCTCGCTGCGATGAAGCCTCAAAGTTCGGTGCTGCTCCCATATTCTCAGGAGATGACATCACTGGAAGCATCAACAAAGATAAAACAATTGTGCTTGACTGACAAAAATGTTTATCAAGATGGAAGTCTCAACAGACGAAGGCAGTATAACTCATTCAAACGAGTGATTACAGTTAAGTAAAGTATGAGTGCAAACTAACTTTTTGCTGCGTGAACATTTCCTGCAGAAGCCCCAACTGATCCAAAAGATTGTTCGCACATATTTTTCTGCAAATATCAAGAATAGATATGGGTGATACATACAGCAAAAATAGAATTTTTGTGCAAAATATGTGCTACAGTGCACTTGTGTAAGCCAAACTTATACGGGATTGCGAGTGCTGGATTCGGAAAAAGAGCTCATTCCGAAGTGAAAGTATCATCTACACACAAGTGCAATTAAAAATACTCTTTCCGATTACCCTGCGAACCCTGCTGCGAGAGCAAATTACCAAAGCAAACAATTGGCACCTGAGTGGTTCACCGCGTTGGTCGCGGCTATGATAACAGGTGCTAAACGTCTGCCAGAAAGTCTGTCACAGACTGAAACCTTCCGATGTACAAGCCCCACAAAAAGTAGCCAAAGGAATGGCCAACATTATTCAAAATCCCAACATATCTATCTATAAAAGTGAAAACACTGCATAAAATTAGTAAGCAGCGAATAAAAACCTCTCCGAAAGCTCTTATTCCCCTCCTACATCGTTCAAATTTTAGCAGTCACTTTGTAATTGCACCACCTTTGATTTTTGCAGTAAAGCTGCTTAGCAGCTGTAGATTCACTAACATAGTTGCCAAAACAGACCGATTACTGATCGAAAACGTGCGCAAAAAAAGGAGAGTGTCGGACTATAGGTCCAACGGTTTGCTTTGAAAAGCAGTGCCATCACCCTACGTGACTGCTGAGATGAGGACAACTGTAAATCAGGTTGCCAAATAGACAAACTGAAAAAAACACTCAGAAAAAGAAATCAGCGCTATTCCACATTACTTGACCCAAAAAATGAAATTCGCGATCTCGCTAAAACTTCATCTAAGGGGATTATTTCGCACAGTAGAGCCTTCGGTGGAACTACAGTAGATTACGGAAGGCAGTGGCGGTCCGAGGGCCCACCTTTCCTCGAGAATGGGTCGTGAAATCTTTGGAAGTTGCTTACAGGTGTTATGAAAATGTGCAAGTGACTTTTTTATATTTGTAAACAATTAAAATAATTTTTCAAATTTTTCAAAAATTCAATTAGCCTTGTAAAAAAATTTGGCTCCCGCCACGCCCCTTCTTCCGAATTTTCGAGATCACGGGCGCGCAAAAACTTCGGGAATCATTGTAAAAAAAATTTTGAATTGCGTGGCTGACGCCTCCCACCTTCAATCAAAAAAAAAAATTTCGTCGCGCCCCTCCCTCCGGTCGGATGGGACCGCCACTGACGGTAGGGGGTCAGAATCACGGATTTGCCCCAAATATCGTCTAGGGAGGGGGGGAGGGGTAGTTTGCAAGCTAAACATAAATACGATATTCATTTCGTACGGTAGCGCTTATTTCCGGGTAACGCTGGCTATACGGTAGATGGCTAAGGATCCCGAATGCTCGAAACTTTGCTTGAAGGGGTTTTCAGGCATGCTAGTTACACATGTCATGCTCGTTCGCTGCAACAATGAGTTACTGTTAGAGTTACGATGAATACAGTGCGTGAAGTAGTAACTTTTCGTTTTTAGTCACATTTAGATTCCAAAAATCCATGAAAAAGCTTTATCGTGCGAGATCAGCGCGATGTAATAGATACAGTGTCTGTTGTCTTCAACAGGTGTTGGTCTTTGCTACCGTATGCCTTCCAGCCTCAACATGAAGTGGATGGGTGAGGCGCCGCCTCGCTTCGAGCCTGCGCCACGTAGCGGAAGCTCGTTTGGCGTGGCGTGGCAACGTGGTGCAAGCCCGCACCAATCCACGTCATGTTGAGGCTGGAAGGCATACGGTAGCAAAGACCAATACATACTGAAAACGACTATACGTGATCAGCAAATCAGATGACACCCCTGCACAAAGGTTCGAGCACTCTAGCCACATATAGGTACACCCGTAATTCCCTGAAAAAGCTCCAAAATGCAGAAAAAAGCATGATTTTTGCAATCACATGCTTAAACACCTCTTCGGCAAGGATTTGAACAAACTCGGCGTTTTTAGCCATCCACCGTATACTCACCGTAACTCGAGAAACTCACGCTACCGTACGAAATGGATATGATCTTCATGTTCAGCGTGCCAAATAATCCCCCCTCCCACTTAGACGAAGTTTGAGCCACGTGGTTTTTCCCTTACCATAATCCTACCGTAACCTCCACCAAATGGCCTGCTGTGCGAAATGGATATCCGTAATTAGCGTGCAAAATAACCTTTGACGTTTTAGCGAAATCCGCGATTTCCATTTTTTGGTCAATTAATGTGGAATAGTACCAAAGAAATCAAATAAAAACTGAAGGTCAAGCAAGATAATTCGAAGGTAGTGGATAAGTTTTGCGACTTGCCATGAACTCAGTTTTCTTAATCAGATCGAAGCCATAGAGAGATGTTCCGTTAGCCTTGAACAAGTGACTAAGCTTAGAGCTAGTGCATAAAGCGTCCACTTCAGCAGCCTGTTCGCTTGTTAGGATTCCTTCTTGACATCTTTTATCTGAAAAGAGACTCTAGTTAAGAGCTAGAAAGACTACTCTGGAACTCACTCAACTCCTCAAGTATTTCCGTATATTCTTGCAAGTTCTTGGAATGTTCTATGTCAAGTTGAAGTATGCGCTCTGCGATAGCCATCTCTGCGTACAACATGTTCCAGTACTTCTCTTCCATTACCGAAAACATATCTATAAAAGTGCTGCAGACCACATATATCCATAAAAGTACTGAGACCAAGTACAAGAGTCTCATAACTCCGGTTCCAAAGTATAGTTTATTCGTTGACCGCACGGACTGGACATCGCTGCGGAGCACGCGCCGCAAGTAGAAGCTTGCTCCAGTGAAAATTCGCCATTGTAATACAAGTCGTGCCCTCGCGACAATTCAGCCGCGCCGCGCGTGGACCGCAAGGTTGGAGCGGTCCGTTGGTAGGTAACTAGAACTAGTTAGTAGACTTCTGTATTGAAGGTAGATACATGCATTGGCAGGCGCTATTCCACATAAGTTGACCCAAAAAATGAAGATCGTGAATTTCGCTAAAACTTTGTCTAGGGAGGTTATTTGGTACGCTGAACACGAATATGATGTTTATTTCGTGCGACAGCGCCATCCGGTGGAGCTACGGTAGGATTACGGTAGGGGGTCAAAATCACGGATTTGCCCGAAACTTGGCCTAGAGGGATTATTCGGCCCGCTGACGCCGAATATCACATTGGTTTCGTACTGTAGTGTCATTTTCTCGAGTTACGATGGGTATACGGTAGGGGGTCAAATCGAAATTCGCTGTAACTTTGCACAGAGGGGTTATTCGACATACTGATTATAAATGTCACACTTTCTCCGCACGAAAACGTCTCCCTGCATGGTCACAGTAGGTTTACGGTAGAGGTCAAAATCACAAATCGGCAAATGTATCTTTCCCCTGTGCTTTGCTTAGGCAAAAGCCGCAGCAGAGTGTGTAGCGCGCGGCGGTGGTCATGTGTGCAAAGCTTCACGATCATCCGAATCGCCATGCACCCGTTTCGGGATGAACTATGTTTTACACCCGTTACCGTGTATCTACCGTAACCCGAGAAAATGACGCTACGGTTCAAAACCAATGTGATATTTGGCATCAACGGGCCGAATAACACCTGTGGGCCTAATTTCGGGCAAATCCGTGGTTTTGACCCCCTACCGTAATCCTACCGTAACTCCACCGGATGGCGCTGTCGCACGAAATAAACATCATATTCGTGTTCAGCGTACCAAATAACCCCCCTAGACGAAGTTTTAGCGAGATTCACGATTTTCATTTTTTGGGTCAACTTATGTGGAATAGTACGCATTGGTGTTCTTCATTTCAGTCCTAATCCTAGCTATAAGAGACCAGTGCTTTATGCTTAAGAGCTTTCGCTCTTAAGCATAAAGCACTGGTTTCGCCGTCCACGAATAAGTACACTCTGTCTCATTTGGACAGCCGACTCAGCGGCTCGACCTCACGCGACCCCTCGCTTAGACTGTGCACCGCGTTCGCGAACATGTCGTCTGATTATCTCTCCACGCCTGAGCGTGAGAAAAGGTTCAGAAGAGTGCTTCAGTTGTTGGTTAATGGCAATGCCCGGGCAGGAACTCGATTTTCAGCAAATACTTACCTGGAATTAAAGGCAGCGTCCAGGCAAGTCTGGACACATGGGGATCTCACGTGGATAGTAATTTTGGGGCCTTAACTAAGCCACTGCCCAGGCGGCAGCTCAGGTAGTGCTCTAACGGCTGAGATATTCCCCTCGAAACTGGACCCCGCGATCGTAATTCGCATGGATTCATGGCGCAAAGCGTGGATCTTAGCGCGAAACTGCCATGAATCCATGTGTAAGATCGCGGGGTCCAGTTTCGAGGGGAGTATCTCAGCCGTTAGAGCACTACCTGCGCTCCCGCTTGGGCAGTGACTTAGCTAGGGCCCCAAACTACTATCTACGTGAGATCCTCATGTGTGCAGACTTGCCTGGACGCTGCCTTTGAACCTACGTCAGAAGGCGCGAAAACAGCTAGAACATGCGTTTCGCAGAGCCTTACTTTCTAAAAATAGACGGTTGCACAGAGTCATGCATTACCTTAGGACTTAAAGGCAGTGTCCGGACAGAATGGGGTCTTGGGATCTCAGTGCCATGCGAAAATCCTCCCCCCCCCCCCCTAAAGCAGGAAAAACGGTCGGAAAATGGGAAAACTTACGCCTTGAGGCGGGTCCTCCGACCTATTTGAATTCCTGCCGTCATCTATCTATCTAATATATAAAGAATCGTAAGCGCAATTCAAAAATGTGCAAATAGCGGGAAACCGCGTGCGGTCCCGAAGCGAACGCTCTTCCAAGTAATACCTTTAGATAACTGGTTCACTAGTTTCCGGCAGAGTACGCATGCCGCCACTTTTAAAACGGGGGTCCTGCAGTGACTCTGCGTCTTTGCCTTGGTGGGGAGCGTCAAATTTCAAATTGTGCGGCTTTGGAAAACCTATGTTCTCGGCGCCCTCTAATATCTGCAACGCTGAATCTAAAGTCCACATTAGAAGATGCGAAAACGGTGAAAACATCGACTTTCAAAGCCTTACAATTTGAAATTCGACAATGTCCACAAAGGCTGAGACGCAGAGTCGCTCCGGGACTCTACGATTTTGACTGCGGCATGCATGCGACAGAGTACGCATGCGTACTCTGTCGCATGGCAGGAATTTAGGTCGGAGGAACCCACCTCAAGGGTTCCCCAACTCCCTATCGTTTTTCTTGCTTTAGGTCGACGTTATAACCTTGTACAGTCGGTTTCATCCCGGATTAGGCGAGACATTTTACGTGGAGCAGCGCATGCGCATCGCTGGAGGTTTTGCGAGCGTATAGCGCTGGCATTTTGCCAAGCAAAGACTAAGGAGATTGAAGAGACGCAGATATGGGTTCTCAGCACGATAGGATATACTGTAGCTGCGAAACGGCGCGAGCTATTGCGAGGCGGACTCCCGCCAATCCAATTTCCGCCTAAAGCGGGTCGAAACTTACTGTATTTGCGCAATGCTGTCTCTGAAGGGGGGGGGGGGGTGGGCGCTTTCGCATGGCAGTACCCCAAAACCCCCACCTTGTTCGGGCCAAATCTGGGCGTTTGGGTTTTTCGCCTGGAAACTGATGAGGTGGTCCCAATTAGAGGCAGCGTCCCGGCAAAAAGACGGGTGCCGGGTTTTTGTGGCGATGGTAAAGTAGACTCTTTTACCTAAGCGATGACTGAAGCTTGAAGCGAAAAAGAGAGTCTACCAAGCCTGAAATACGCTCTGAAAGTGGCCCGGATCTTACGGTAGGACCGAATGCCGCCTGCATAGCGATTTCGAGCTGCAAGGCCAGAGCACGCATAGCGCACACAGTCATGAGCGCAGGGTTCCGCAAGACTCTGCGTCCTTACCTTGCATGCATCTCGTACTCGCTCGAGCCTACCGTAAGATCCGAGCCTCTTTCGTGACAAATCTCAGGCTTGGTAGACCCCCCTTTTTGCTCCAAACTTCACTCATCGCTTAGGTAGGAGGCCTGCTTTAACATCGCCACAAGAACCCGGCACCCATCTTTTTGGAGAGCTGCCTTCGAGGTTTACGTAATAGCTTGTTTTCAACATAGGGTAACCTATGTAGTAAATAATGATAATAACATTTTCGTATTCTGCAAACTACATTTTCAGAATCAGCGGGAGGGTTAAGTCCGGTAAGCGAAAACGTTCGAAATTTTGCCTGGACGTCTAAGCGCAACTCTAGAGCCTCGTGCTGAGTTCGCGGGCGTACAGCTTGAGCGTTTGAATCTGCCATATCGATTAGAGGTCGTTGCGCGTGGCCACGCGCTGCAGATGCGTACATACAATTGCTACGGAAGAGGGAGCACGCGGTTGACGCATACTGTACATATAGTCGAATCTGTTGTAACTCAGCGTACACATCACACGTGCTATATTACGGTTTGTAAGTCCTCTCTTTGGTTTGACTGAAAATGTAAAGGCTACTGCAGGACGAAGGCGCAGAAGCGGTATTAGTTAAAAGGGTGCGAACGAGGCGCGCGCGTACCCTCACTGTGGTAAATCCTGCTTCTCATGCGCTCTGCGGCTAATAAAAACGCGTTCGCGCTTAAAGGCAGTACATCGACAGAATGAGACCCGTGACAAAACAAGGTCACAGGGTAGGAGCCCCCATATGGAACCTATCGGCCAAAGTCCGATCTTTCTCTGCCACTTCTAACCCCCGAAATTTTAACGCGGAAGCAGCGCTCATCTCCTGTATTCTCTGGCCCCGCCCACCATGGGAAGGGCGGGGCCGGAGAATACAGGAGATGAGCGCTGCTTCCGCGTTAAAATTTCGGGGGTTAGAAGTGGCAGAGAAAGATCGGACTTTGACCAATAGGTTCCATACGGGGGCTCCTACCCTGTGAACTTGTTTTATCACGGGTCTCATTCTGCCGATATACTGTTTTTAAAGATATAGTGCCTTCGTCATGCTGCAGCCTATTTGAAGAGATAATACACCTTTCCGCCCTTTGTTCAGCTAGAAAGGTTTACTGACAAATTATAAGTAAGGTGCCGTCGGTTGCCGCGCGTAGTCTGAAGGCTACATAACAGGTTAGCTATCCTGTGTGCTTCAGAAAAGTTCCCATGTGAACCAGCGTGCGTACGTGGTGCGAGGCTGCCTTTCGCTCTTTTTGACACGTTTCTCTTGAGATTTCAATGAAACTGCCCGAGGTTAACACGTTCAAAAGAAAGAAAGGCAGCGAGATGACGTGGTACCTATGGGAATCTTGCTGGGGAGCAAACGATAGGTGCCAGACTGAGCGAATATTTTGTTCAGCTGCAAAGGACGCACAGAATTAACGTTAATTCTGCGCGGAACCTGCAGCTGAAGCAGCCTTAGCAGCAGCAGACATTATGCATCAGACATTAATTCTTTTGCAGCTGAACAAAATAGTCGCTTAGTCTGGCGCCTACCTTAGGTCCACACACAAGCATTTGTGATTTACAGTCGAGTAGATTTTTCCCCTAATATTGTGTGCTTGCACAGAAGGTAAAATGCGGTGAAATTTTCGCGAGAACAAATAGCTTCGACTGTGACGCCGGTCAACTGCGCGCGCAAAATGCCGGCAGCACTGGCGTGGCTATTTCACGCGCAAATTTCACCTCAGTTCACCTTCTGTGCAAGCACACTATATTAAGCAGAAAATCTACTCGACTGTACCTTATCACCAAGATACCATAACTTATCAGGTAGAGTGTCCAACTTACTACATACCTTGCGTGTCGGAGGGCGCGGATCACCGACCTACCGATCTTCTGGCGGGGAGAAAAGCCCGCGCTGACCCCTTTGGCAGGGTATAAATATCGGGAGTCAGGGGGAGGCCTCAGACTGCGCTGAGGGCTAGCGGGAGCTTAATCCGTCGAAGAGAGGCTGACCTCCCCCGTAAGCTTGATACATACCTCGCTGCTTAAGTATGGACAAAACCAGCGAGCAGCGAAGGCAGCGCTGCTTCGGCTGATCAGCGCTGCAGTCGGCTGCTTCTTGAGTGCTCGTTCAGTGCAAAAACCACCCACAATAACTGCACTATCGCCAAGTTTTATAACATCGAAAACGAGAGAATTAGCATGTTTTGAGCTGGATCTGGAGTTATATTCTACTTTTATGAGGAGTTCTTCATGTTTCAATTTTCAATATTAAATTTATAATAGATAGTAGCCCCATACGAGCAAAGCGGGGGGGGGGGAGCATAAATGTACTGATTCCATTCGGCCCTTATCAATGGCTGTCCCAGCAATATGAGAGTTCCCCTCGGGCAATGACGTGATCCGAGTCCACTGGAGGCGAAATTTTATATGACTGCACCAACAGCTTCTTAAAGGCAGCGTCCGGGCAAAATTTCGCCTCTCATTGCCATTCTGGGGCCTTTCCGTGGCCCTGATTACAGTTGTAAAGTCCAAATTGTTCAAAACTCCCAAAAAACCCCGTTCTTGGGGACCCTCTCTTCAAGGAGCGGACGAGTTTCGAATTGCTTGTCCCCATCGTCATGCCAGCGGGAGGAGCTGCAACTGTACGGATGCAGTTGCATTGCAATGTGCACTGCAACTGCAATGCAACTGCAATGCAACCGCACACCTGCGTGAGCACTCGTCCTCAGAGGTAGTTTGTGATACGAAGGGGCTGCTTGTGATACGTATCATAGGCCTGTATCTCCTTTTAGAGGGCACGTCAAGAGATTGGGCCAACGCAGATCGAATAGTCATGGGCCCCTCTTTACAACTATGTGCTAATCTCGGTGGATGGATCTTGCCTGGACGCTGCTTTCAAATCAATTTCTTCATCTTCATGGAGTATATCTCTCCAGTTCATCTCAATGTTTTCCCATATCCTCCTCTAAAATCCTAATTTGATGGTTTTAGGCTGCATTCATGATTTGCTCATGCAAGAAAGACGGACTTTGCTTTTAAAGCGCTGATTGCAGCTTGAAAACCGGTAAAAATAGGTAGATTCAAAAAAAAAGCAGCTGTTTGCAGCTCGAAGCAGCTGAGATAAGCTCAGAAAAAGTGAGCGTAACTCAGCTGCAAACTCTAGTGCAGCGCTGCTCAAAAATGAGACGCTAGGTATGGACATGACCTTTTGCGTTAGCTGCTGCAGCGTGAGGGAACAGCCATAGGTTGTCGGTGTTGTCGGTGTTGTCGGTGTTGTCGATGTTGTCGGTGTTGTCAGTGTTGTCGGCGTTGTCGGTGTTGTCGGGGTTGCCGAGGTTGCCGGTCGTTGTAGGACCGTGATAGCCTCCACGTTTCGCGCGCTCTCTAAACTGTCTCTGACCCCGAACCCCGACAACACCGACAACGCCGACAACACTGACAACATCGACAACACCGACAACATCGACAACACCGACAACACCGACAACCTATGGCCGTTCCCTGAGGCAGCAGCGTCACTCCGCTGCAATCGATACGCATTAAATACGTTGCTGCCACCGCTACATATAGACACCCGACGGCAGGTATGTATCAAGCCTTTAGAGAGGAGAGACGGCCCTTCTGAACCCACCGTCCACTACAGTAACCCAGCAAGAAGGACGCGGGCGCCTGCGCTGCGGTCATTGCGGACGAGTCTTCTGCGGAACGCTTTATTTTCGAAAGTCACAGCGTTCAGATGTGAACGCAGTAGTAATCCTCACCTTATCCAGCCCCATTTCTGTAAAGCTGCTATTCGCTCCATTTTGCTATTCTACGGCCTAATTTTATCAGGTTTGTTTCTAGAAACGTAGTTTTGAATTTCTTGACTATTTATATGAATGAAATGATTTCCTCATCTCATTTTGATTACTTTTATACTGCTATTTGTTTGTGTGCATCCTTTCTGCTTCATGCATTGTCACATGTTTGAGCGTTGTGAACTGCATGATGCGTCAAGAGGAAAGTACACGCGACCGACCCACAATTCAAAGTGCAACAGATGGTTTCCCATGATCTCTGCACGATACTAATAGTTTATAGTTTGCTCTAAACGACTTTCGCTCAATGCCAAGGCATTTGTTTGGTAGCATCTAGTTTTCTGCGTAAAGCTGCTCCTTTCTTGTTGATTTTTAGGGTTGGGCATGGAATCTTGGGTGTTTATAAGCCACTGCTTGTAGGTCAAACTTCTGAGCTAGATTCTGGAACTTCTCAGCTCTCCAAAGCTCACGAAACAATAATATCCCCTATTTTCCTTGCTAAGAACTAGGTTCAAAACTGGTAAGTATTTGTATAGTTTACATATAAATATGCAACCGCTATAATGGGCGCAGAATCCTGTTGGCTTGGCGACGAACTGCATTAACAAGAATCTCGGCTCTCAGGTTGTCAGGCAATAATCAAGCAAAAAAGTGTGTTTTCCCTGCAAGCTTCGTTTAGTTCACATACACAAATGAATGTGACGATACACGATGCTGCAAGGATTGCACACATGGAGCAGAAAGAGCTACCAGCACTCACCACTCAACCAAAAATAGAGTACTTCAGTAGTCGAAGCAAAGAAACACGTCAATTAGTGGATAGCAGCGAGGTAAAACGGCAGATACTCATTCGATTCAATCATGCGCGTACGACATCTCTATCAAGGGTCTGAGGAGGGAGGTCACCACTGAGGAACTCGTCCATCTCTGCAGCGCACGTGCTTAGGTCAGCCGCTCGCCTTATCGAAGCAGCCAATTAAGGCGTGACCTCTGAGACGCGCTGACCTATCGTAGCCATCGCGATTAGAGCTGGTTCAGAAGGGCCTACACCCTTTAGAGAGTAACCAGTCAACCTGCCGAAGAGCTCAAAGAGGGTAAAGCCCTCTGTGTCGTTGTTAAGCCTGTTCAAGTTACACGTTCTTGTTTCCTTGTTGTTTATCCGGTTTCTGAGATAAATAATTAGTCGTTCAAGCCGTGTAGTCTATCGATCCGGTTGAAACCGTTATAACACTAGACACCCCCGGTTACATGCGCATTATAAGCGAGTTCTACATTATCTAAACTTGTGCATGCGATGTTCCATCACAGTTCATTCAGCGCGGCACAAATGCGCTCCATCGTAAAGGAAGTCTTGCTCTGGCGCCAATTTCACGTTGGCCTGCTGCCGAACTTCTCATCTGACTTTTTTAATCAGCTTTTGCAAAGTTTCTTTCTTTCTGAAAAGCAAACAACTGGTCTCTTTACAAGTCTTATCCAAGTCCTTCAGATTCTCTGGCTAATGAGCAAAGAAGATGATTTGATAGCGAAAGCTAAAGTTGCTTTGATTGATGCGGTGAGATACGACAAGAGTGACAAACCAAATGATGCGTTGCGAGATTACATGAAGGGGATCGATCTTCTGGATCAGGCGGTCAAGTAAGAGTTAGTGTTTTCTTATATTCGTGACTCAAACTTGATTATTAACCTGTTAAGCCTTCCAGCAATTTCCACTTTTGAAAAGGCTTAGTTTAGAGCCATGTCTCTGACTGATGAAAGGAGAAAGCCATTGTACAAGCAGATAGCGCAATATGTTACTAGAGCCGAGCAGTTAAAAGATGCCACTAAGATCGAGGTGTGTTCCTATGTAATGAAGCATTCTTACTCGTCTTACCCCCTCATCATGTACTGTAAAGCTTTACTGACTGTAAATTTGATATACTCTATTTTTGCTCGATCAAAATCGTCCAGTATCCATATATATTACTTCGGCATTAAAGAAGATTTCATCAGTTTTTTATCGGCTAGCCTCGAGCAGAGTTCACGCGATTTCATCGCCTCGCGACTCTTCCAACAAGAAACAGTTACCCATTGCATGCCGATCACCTTATATCTCGGTTGTAATAGTTAGTCACGATTACTCCTGTAGAAAAACTATCACAACCGGAATGCGAGATGATCGACATGCAATGATATTATTACAGTCCTCTTGTCGCCGACGATGAAATTGCGTGAACTCTGTCCGAGGCCTAAAGCGCATGATTATTCGCCATCTCAAGATTTGAAAACAGCCGAACTCCCAATGCTTTGACTGATGGCATTCGGTGTCATACAATTTGCGCTTTCCCGTGTTCGAGTAAATCTTCTTCTATCATAATTTTTTGAGCAAGATATCATGCATTTGAAGGAATATACCAACCACTCGGGTTCGAATATAAAGTTTTTACGGGGCCCCTCTTCAAAGTAGTTATAAATCCTGTTGTAGAGGTAAAGTTTGGAGCAAGCGCCTTACTCTGGAGCCCATGGCGATGACCAGGTTAAGCACTGCCGCTTCTACGTTTAGAGCGATTTTTGGCTTCAGAATTCATTTTTGGCAGCAGAACTTGATAATTACTTATTGGTTGGTATCCCCGCTATTGTACCGCATTTCACACTCATTTTGAATTTTGGCTGGGCTTTCGGCATATTGATTTCCAATCAAAAGGAAGCGGCGATAGTATACTCTAGCATCATAGCGGCAAGCATTGCTTGTAATTGACAGCAATGGTTGCTCATTGTGTCTGAGAAACTTCGGAGCGAATTTTAGAAGTTATGACATCGCAAATGGCAACAGCGGAACCGCTTTTTGCACCTTATTCTCAGACAACCTTATGACGTTTTGTATGACTCAGTCCTTCTCAGTGCATAGCAGTCTTTCAGTTCACATTCTCGACCTTTCTGGTCAAATTGCTCGCGAAATTTGTACGTGTATCGCTTTATTATTACACCACAATGCCAAAATAGGACCCAATTTTCCAATACGACTTTTACGGTCGACCAGTGCCGTTCTTTTTTTCATTCGCATTTGTTTTGACGCACGTCACTAAGAATTCTGTTCCGGATGAGCTCACATCTGCGATTTGCGCTATCTGACTCCAACACTTCCTTCATCTTCATGTAGAAGAAATCTTCAGATTGGTCTTATGACAGTTCATCAATCTTTTTGCGCTTTTTTTACCTCACTAATCTAGGTCGGTTTTTTGGAGCAGCGAAAGATCGCAGCAAACAGTACGGGTCATGGTTATGACAAGATTTTTGGTAGATGTTTAGACGATCAATTGACTGCCGTGCATGTTCAAGATGCTTATGTCGCCGCTCATCATCAGGTATGCAGACTTCATCTTTTTCTGAAAATTTTGTAATTTTCATTCTATTCGCATCGTTATCTTACAGATAATGAATTTCGTGCGCTTTTGTGAGCTAGTGGTCAGCCGAGCGCCAAACGTTCGCTGTATCAATCTGCTTACCGGTATGGAAGCGAAGAACAATCAGGCTGCCTTTGCAGAGCTGAGTCAGAGTCTTGAGAAAGTCAATGTTGCCTTGAAGGTCGATTTTAGCCCTTCTCTTCATGACAGGGAAATACGGTAAACTTTTCATGCACTAAATTTCATAGCAGTCTTGATTCTCACAGTTATTACAGATTTAACAATGGTTGGATAGTGAAAATTGGACGCGGCTTGGATTACTTCAAAAATCCTGGCAAATATGTTTTGGGAGCATCAGACTTGAATTTCCGACCATGTCATGAGACCATTGTAGATATCTTGAGACAGAAGAAGTGATCACTTTTTGTTATGTCTTCATATTTGTAAATATATGCAAATTTCACAGCTCAATAAACATTCACTTATCTGTATGATTTTGTGTACAGTGTTGGCATCATTCACATACTTTCATGCGATGTTTATTATCACTTTACTCTGTCTTGTTCAGCATTTCGTGATTTTTTAGTGTGAGATTTGGTTTCGCATCCGGTATCAAAGTCATCATGACCAAGACTGAAGCTGCCAAGACTGTAGGTTTACTAATGTGGGCATTTCTGGAAAATGCCTTTCCTTTTAGAATACTGTGCGTTCTGTTCAGTTTAATGAGTACAAATCAGAGCTGTTCAAAGAGGCTGAGCGGATCGTCATGGAAGAGTTTCCGATGAAAGTCATCGAATTCGACAATTTGCTCAAGGTGACCGAGGTTCTTTTTTTGTATGCTTTCAGTAAGTTATTTTTTGTACGTGGTTGCATTTTGAATTGATGAGTTTAGTTTGCCAGTTTCTTTACATTATAGCCAGCATGATATTGATCCGTTCATATGTTTTAAATACTTTAGAGCTTGAAATTAGTCATCTATAATCGTGACATATAGGTACTTTTCTGCATTTTAGTTATCTGCTATCTCATCCCTTGGTTTCTAATCAGCACCAAATCGCGTTGTTATATTGCAGACTCGTCGTTTCTCTTATGAAAGACTTCCCGAGGTAATACCAGATCCACATTTGAATATTCCAATCCCTTCAGTAGCTGCGATGGTAAGGCGTTTTTTTCTGAGCCACTTCTTCCTATAGGAACTGATTCTAGAACGACGCTGATGGAGATGCTCCGGCCTCAAAAAAGAGGAAGATTGACGACACGACTGTGTTGCAAAACGGTGGGTTAAATAACCGATTGATGTTTCAAAGATATCAAACTAGAGAGTCTGGAAGTGGCTTTTTTGTGTGTTTCCTGATAATTTATCATGGCGGCTGTTCGCTTTTTTAGGAATGCCCATGTACGGATTCATAAACGGTTCTGTTCCATGCAATGCACACCTCGCCGACCTGATGGATCAAGTGCGGCCTCTTTTACGTGATGCTGTGGAACACGTGAACAAGGTGAAGATGGTGGTCCGTTTCACTTCAGAATCATGGCATTTTCCAGGTCAAAATGTGGATCACTCTTCTCATTCCTCGCATTGAGGACGGGAACAATTTTGGTGTGTCTATACAGGAGGAGACCCTTGGAGAGGTATGATATTGACAAAATTATTGTTATCCTGGAGAAAACTTGGCATGCCTTCTATGGATCTATGACGAACCATATGATTATGGGTATTCACAGTGGAACTATAATTACAGGTGCGAAACGTCGAAAGCGAAGCAGCTTCATTTCTTGATCAGATGAGCAGATATTTCACAAGTAGGGCTAAATTGCTCACAAAGGTTAGTAAAGGGGCTTTCTGGTCCCTCGCTTTCTTGATAGTTCTTTGTTCAGAATTTTCGTTTTTTTTTTGCATTTTTTTGGTTCTTATGTTCGCAATATTATTTTTTTGACCGTGCAGTAGAACAGTGTTGGTTTCACTCTAAGAGCTCTTGCTTACTCTCATTCAAATGTCGTAGCGCGCAATTTTGTTCGCTTTTTTGGTGTTGCACTGTACACTCTATAGCTGTTGTTTTCTCAAGTCAAACACAGGCCTTCAAGCAGGCCAGCATGTCAGTTAGATCGAGTATTGGATAGAGGAAATTTTTGCACATACTATCAAGATTGTTAAACAGAGAAGACAGCAGTATTGAGGCGAAGTAATAAATATCTCTCGCCATGTGCTCAAGAGACTCACCTCTGGTTGTAAGTAACATACGGGTTTTTTGCTCAATTTTGACATTTTTGCGGTCGCTGGATTTTTACAGGAGTTAATGTTTGCTTTAACTGTTCTTTCGTTTCTTGACATTTTACGAACGAATTCATCTAGATTGCGAAATATCCGCACGTGGATGACTATCGAAGAGCCATTCTTGACATGGACGAGAAACAGTTTATCAACATAAGGTAGATTTTTTACTTTTCCTTTTTTGAATGTAATAAGGCTCAATCCAGACTGGTCGTTCTCGAGATGCGAAATCATTTCTCCACACTATATGACATCATAACGAAAAACATTGAAAAGATCAAGAAGCCTCGAAACAGTAACATGGACATGCTATATTAGATTGGAATCTGTTGGTCTCTTTGCGAGTTCTCCCTGATATTGCTGTGTACTTTTTTCATAACTGTTAATCTGACCTTAGGCGATTGATTATGTGATTCTATGAGTCGTTTCGGTCGTATTTTTCGGTTTTATCTCACCTTTTTGCTACGCATTTTCACAATCATATAGTGTGTAATTGTGCATGCTTAATCTTGTCGGGGTAAAACTATTCCAGATTGTTGAGTTTTGAAGTTTATTCTAGTTCCGTTTAGCTTGTCATATCCGTTGTTAATAAGAACTTTTCGACTACACATGAAGTTTCAAGTTTCCTTAGCCTTGCAAGTTCCCACCAAAATCAAAAAAATCTTATTTTTGACTTGTTCCGTTCACTCATCCAAACTTGGCGCTAAGTGCTGTTGTTCCCCTATTGTTAAAATCTTTGCCATATTCTCAATAAAGTGTCTTGTTAGTGGATGTCAACTTATGTGAAGGAAGTTTAATTCTAGACTATCGTAAGCATGCTTACTTATGAAGAATATATGCTGCTCGAACTTTACGCATTTACTGCGTTTCTATAATCCTTCATAGGTTTATCCGCCTACTATATACAGGGTGTCCCAAAAAAATGTGAACACTGTTTGATCCTCAATAACTCCGTTGCTTTCATGTCTTTCGCCGAGCTTGGGGCACCATTCTGTAGAGCGAGGTTCAACTTAGATTTGTGGTGTGGAGTGAATCACCGATCGCTCTTCATTACTGTAGGATTACGGTATGAACTTCTGGCATGTGGATCTATTATGAAATATGCCATTTGACAAAATTTTTTCCAAAAAATCTGAAAAATCGTGTACTAGGGTTTTTGCGCACGCTGATTCCATAACACAACTTTTTACGAGTGTTTTTAGCTTTTTTGAAGGTGTAATCACATTTTTGACAAATGCTGGAAATTCGGTCATTTAGGTTTACCTGGGATAACCTTGGAAAGAAGCATCACAGTGAAGTGGAAATTTCATATTTGAACTCAGCGGCTTCCATTACCCATGTATAAAAGTTTTTGGCTTGTTTAGTTTTGTTCCGAGGCAGAATATGGCTTTCAACGGTTTAAAATCTTTGTCAAAATTCTTACCGTAATCCTACAGTAATGAATAGAGATTGGCGATTCGCTCTATACTACAGATCTAAGTTAGACCTCGCTCTATAGAATGATGCCTCAAGCTCGGCGAAAGACATATAAGCAAGGGAGTTATTAACGATCAAACAGTGTTCACATTTTTTTGGGACACCCTGTATAAGGTTTTCTCTGAAGAAGAATGATTTGGTGCACCAAAGGAATGTGCATGTTTATCAGCAAAAAAACTTGAAAAGTTTTGTTCGGTTGCTATTAGCGAAGCAAGAATTTGAATGAAAGTGGCACTTTTGAAAGCTTCTACTATACAAATCAGGGAGTTGGGAAACTGCCACAATGGCGATTGCGGAGACGATCAAACTTCATTGATTTTTCCAGATCATATGAAGGATATCGATGATTTTGTCTTCAAGAATATTCAGTGTTCAGCTATCTGTTTAGCCAAGGTTGGTTGCATTATCTAGGTCGAATTACATAGTATTTGTATTTGTTTTTACTAAATCGCCAGCTCAAATGCGTCAACAGCTTGCAGTTGCGCATCTCATAGCAACTTGCATAGCTGCAAAGTATAGTGTAGATTGAGATTAAGACACCTCAGGTTAATATTGTTCTCTTTAAGCTACCAAAGACGACTTTACGTGATTTACGGCGATTGCTGTTGAGTGGGCTTTCCGATGATCTCGAGTCTCAACCTTTCAATCATAATGTACGATCTACGCTGATTGGAGTTGGCAACTTCCTGCTTTATTCAAACGGAAGGGTAAATTTATCTCACCTCTTGTAACGTTGACTAGTCAAAGTAAAATTTTTAGTTTGGTGATGAACTTGTTCCTTTACTCATCAAAGCTCTGAATCTCATACCGCAGATGAAATGGGTCGATGATGGGCTTGTTAATAAGCATGACAGTATGCGTTTTTCTTTGTTGGGACTTTCATGTAGTTTACCAATTAGTCCTACTCTTATCCTAGAAGTGCCCATACAAGAGGAATTTGCATTTTGTTTCAATACTGTACTGTCGGATCTTGCTGCCAGTTTGCCAGATTATCGTAATGCCATTGTGGCCGCACAGGTATTCTATGAGCCCTCGTCTATATTAATATCCTTCTTCTGATTCATGCTGATCTACCCTAGTTTCAGTTTGTCTGAGTTTAACTTACGCAATTTTTTGTAAGTGTCTCTGACCTTGACCCTTGGTCTGTGCAAATCAAGAGAGTATTTTTGCCCTTGACAGGAGAAACCGCTGCTAGATCTGTCCTTTGTTTGTCCATCTCTTACCAGTCATAAATAAGTCTTCTATGAAGTTCACCTCGTGGTTTCTCAGCATAAGTTTTCAGATTGATGCTCTGGCCTGCGCTGTTGCATCCATATTTGAAATTCTGGAAGATCATGAAAATGCCAAGCAGTCTAAATGTGAGTCATAATGAAGTGAATATCTATTATGCGCGGTTATTTTTGGTTACCATAGCTCATCTTCTCAAACTTACATGCTATGTGCTGGGTTTGCTGCGGTCCTTGGGACGATACTCACCACAAAAAGACAGACCGTTAATCTCTTACGTCTTTCCTGTCGATTTTGAAACTCCACCCACAGTCAGTGATGGTAAAAATGGGTAAGAAAGTGTATTCAAGTTCTTGCCTGCACCCCAGGGCTGGTATTTCTTTATTTCAAGAGACGTTATTCCACGCATAAGTTCTGATGACTCGTGGACTTGGCTCGACAACAGTAACACTGTGGTCATGGAAAAAGAACGCAATGCTGTACAGCGACTCGTCAAGCTGTATAATAAGTATGGAGCAAGTTTCGTTTGCGCCAATGTTGATAAAGCACATTTCGCGATGACCACAAATGAGCTGGAAGCGCTTTTTGATACAGTGAGTACACTTCGGCAGTATCAGATGATTTGTAGTCTTGAGTCAGTCTTCTGCTTACACAAATTTTCCTTGCAGGTGCAGCAGCTTCTGAATAAAGACATTTTGACACAACTGGATGATCATGCCACTGATGTTTACACTGTGAGTTGTTTATACTTGGACTTATTTTGCAAGTCTTTGAAGATACCGTACTTATATCGTCATAAGATGTCAAAACTGGTCAATTTCTGAAAAGCTTTGGTTTATCTGAGTTTTGTCTAACTTGCACTCAATTCAGGGTGCTTTCATCAAGCGTTTTCCTTACAAAACCATCAGCGAAACAATCACTCTGGCATGTTTGATGATGCTCAAAGAGGTCTTGCGACCATTCTCCGTGCTCGCTAAGGATTCACCCATCAAGGAAAACTTTGCCAAGGAGGTTTGTTTGACATCTTACAGTTTCGATTCATATAGTGCCAAATTTTAGATGAATGCCTTCGTTGTCGATCTGCTAAACTCACTGGAATCTCAGCGACTTTCACTTTTGGGAGAGCGTCGCATGACCCCAGCCGGTGGTCCCCGTCGTCCATTTGATTTGGAATTGCCGAGGCAGGGCATTTCGATTCTGGCCATGGCTTGTGGTTTAGAATTGATAGTGTGGGCAGCCATCGATGATATAGGTTAGTTGAGGGTTTGAAATGGCTCTCATACATCCAATTTCCGTTAAGATTCTGATGCGGTCTGCTCAAGAATGTCAGGACGGTTGTTTTCTATCAACACCAACCGAGTACAACTGTCGCAGCTGCCTCTTGCTCTCAAGGCTCTCTCATCACTTGGCGGTAATTTGTTTCCATAGTTTTTTTTTCACGCTTGCATGAAAAGGATGTCGAAGTGCAACCTATTTACTGTCTAATTCTAGGGCTGGCTGAGAAGTTTCCTTCGGTCGCTACAGCTACTGTTGTTCCCATTCTTTCTCGATTCCTTCTGGAGCCAGCACCTATACTTACAAAACTTTCGTCAGAAACGGTGTGCCTTGACTGTTAAATTGTGATTTTATGGTTCATCTCTACTATCCTTCTGGATACCACTGCGAATATGCGATTATAGTCTGGAGAAAAACGAGGTGAAGAACGACGACAGGAGGAAAACACTGCGAAGAGAAAGTCGGCTTTGGATTCTTTAAGAAATACAGCAATTGATGCCTTATGCAGGTCTCTAGCCAAATCGATTTTTCCCTATGAATCCTATAATATTTCATTGAATATTAGTTTTTACGATATATCATTTAAGGGCCTTAAAGTCCTCATTGAGCGTCGATTCGGATAGTGTTCAAGCGTGTCTTGCGAGCTTGTCATCAAAACTCTTCGTTTGCTCGAGTGTCAACAATTTGTAAGTTTTTTTCCGGAATTCAGTCTCAGTACAAACAACGGAGCTATTTGATACGACGCTCCCATAAAAAAAGATTTGTGGTGTGTTTCTCGCTTCTTTGGTTTTCTCGTTAGTCAGTGTAGAATTGTACATGGATCTATGCATTTTTCTTATAGCGCCTTTGTGTTTTTTTTACATCTAGCATACTAATACAACGCAGTATTTTCACTGAGGACTATTATCGACCAATGTGACTGTTTTCCTGACCTTTGTAGACTGAACGTCGTAACAAAAATTTGAGGGGATTAGAGATCGTATCAGCATCCTGTTTCCATTGTGGAGCTTGATCTTCAACATATGGCTGTGTATTTAGGGGACTGCATGTTGCTGATCGGTGAGTTGTGTATCTGGGCAGCACATTTCTATTTTCCCAGAGCGCTTCATATTCCCTACCATTAGTTTTATTCGGGTAGGGTGACCGCATGTCAGCTTCTCATAAAGGTCTAAGTGCTGAGTGATAAAGCTTCTTCTAACCTTGGCTGTACTACTTGCTGCACTTGCTGCATCCATGCAGACTTGTTCTTATGGCATCCTTTTCAGCGTTGTGGCACTCGTTTGCGAAAATGCCATCATGACACTTGGTGGCATCGGTGTGGCTCTGGTTGACTCGAAAGATGTACCTGATATGGTTTTGCAAATTTATTTGCAGCGGTGAGTTTTGGCTGCAATTAGTTGTAAATCAGCGGAAAGGACCTTTATTTAGTTTTGCAAATCCTCCCTCTCCTCTCGATAATGTAATGGTGCAATGTTTAGCAAATATGTGGATAGCTGGAGCGGTAAGTATATGGTTATTTGGTTTTCCTTTTGAAATCTTTATTCAATTTTTCCAAGAGGGCATAATTTGCAGAAATCCATTCATGACGGTGTAATGAAGCTCTTCACACAGATCTCTATAGAATCGAGTAATCGCATTTATACGCAGGAACCTGTAGGAACGGGAGAGCACAGATATGCGTGCGTAAACATCTCTAGACTTTTAAAAACAGGCCTTTATCTCGTATTTCAGCCATGTCTCATTAGCAGTGGACACAGCTTTGGGACGCATGGCAGACGGTGTGGCTGAAGGTGAAGATCAACATGCTTTGCTGGTGCGACTACTGGAGCTTTTTGTGCAGCTTGGTATAGAAGGGAGAAGAGTTGGAGAGAAAGTATCAAAGACCACCGTGAAGGTAATCTCATTTTTACATTTTTGTCATGCTTTTTTGTCGTATTATCCTTATGCTTATATACATGCCATACTCTCTTGCTGATTTTCGTGTTGTATCTTCTCTGTAATGTAATTGCTGTGTCTGCTATTGATATTGCTTCGTTTTCCGCATCAAACTGTCGAAGCATGTGGTAAGGACAGTTCTTTCTTTCAGCTTACCATAGTGGCATTGTCCACGTCGTCTAACTCATACAAGGTTTGTTGCTGAACAAGTGTATCAGTCGTGGTGTTTTTGTCATGCTTCCATGTTGCTAGTTAGACATCAAGCGTGTTGGTTTATTCCCAGTCTTGATTGATTTCGTATGTTTTATTGGAATACAACCAGAGTAGGGTTACATATCCACAGTTGTAGAATTAGAAGTATACGGTTGATTTGCTTGAGCGCTTTGAATTCAACAAGTGGGTTGAAGAGAACTTCAATAAGATTATGTCGCGGCACTCAGAAGCTCCACACTTTTTGGTTCTAGTTCGATTTTACTCCAGTATAGATACCTTAGCAGAGCATATTGCAAATATGAATGTACCAAATTCAGATGTCGACGAGCGCCGGAAATCTGGGAGTTTTAATGCCCAAAATTGCAACTCTGTTGAAAAGAATGCAGCCTATTACAAATCCTTCAACGAGATTGAGAAACCTTTTCAGGTGAGCTGAAAGTGTGTCTGAATGTTTAACAAGCGTGTCTAACAATTCTGAATTTTAGAGATTTTTGGTTCTACTGTACCGTGCTCGGCTTTGATGTCGAATATTCAGGTAAGTCGACTACAACTTATAGACCTCTTTGGTCCATTGCTGTTGTGGAATTCTTTGATGACAAAGTCCAGCTTAGTTTCTTTTTTTTTTCAAAAACGATCAGCAAAATATGAAATATACAATTTTCACACTAACTCTGTCCTCCTATTGAGCTAATTCTCAGGTCTGTGGCCGGAAGACTGGTACAGCGCTGTCTGTGTTATCGCAACCAAATCTCCCATCTTGATAGCTCAGGAAAATTTGAGATCTGAACTTATCGATAATGCGGCTATAAAAAGTGATGCTATCTCCCCGGTTAGTGTTCTGGGTAAGCGTCCATGACAATCGTGCTCATCTCATCAACATTCCAGAACGAACTTCAAGACTTTCGTAACGTAGTCTGTGGTGTGCTAAACCACGCGGCTGAAGTAGTGCCAATTGTTAATCGGATGGATTTCGCCCAGTGTACCTATCTGCTGTCTGTCTTAAGGATGGAGAAGATGAGAGTGGTGGGTGCTGAATCAGTGCCTGTTTTCTATTAGGTCATTCGGAAAGTTTTTTCGTTTCCGCACCTACAAATTCAAACGAGCACAGTTTTATCCATATTCAACCTTTTTCCATCAAATAAGTTTCATTGTGTTCAGGAAATTTCTGGTAACAATCCTATTGTGCTCTTGTGCTTTTTTCTTGCGAAATGATCTCAGAGGAATCAATAAAGCCCAAAAAGGCGTTTTTGACTAGGTAATCTTTATTGTGTCCTATTCTTTTTTGATAGGCACCGAGCAATTAGAAAATTTGGTGATTGGTAAAGGAAGGTCTAAAGAGCTCGAAAAATAAACAGGAACTTCGGTGAGCAGTCAACCCCTTTTGTGAGAGCCATCTTTCTTACATGTGGTTTGGCGGCGCCATGGGCGAGGATGGCATCTCTCGCCCATGACGCCTCTCTCGATAGGTTATACGTGCAAGTCTGTTCAGTTTCAAAATTTTTATAAACGGTCTTTAGAGCGGTATCGCACTACTCTGCTTACAGTACAATCGCATCTTATAGTGAGTTTATAGCGTGCAAGACCAGCAGGATTACATTAATTTGAGTACATCAACCTCTTGGATTGACTGATTGTTCTGGCCATCTTTCAATGCTCATTCCAAGGGATTTGCCACACTGTCACTTCTTACAGCCGTACTTGGCCGATTTTTTGTCATCAATAATCCAGGCCAAAAAAGGATTGCTCCATCAAATTATGAGCAACGAAAGCAGAGTTAACGCGCCCTCAATCTGCAAGTGCGATAATTTGTGGGGTATATGTCACTGAAATCTTTCGGTATTGCAGCTTTAGCGAAGGTGGCTTTTAATGGGGCTATATGACACTTCCAGGCCTGCTGATAATTTCATGCAGCTATGCTTGCGATTTGCTCTAAAGGACTCTCTGAGATGCTCGTTTATATGACAAGAACACCTTCCAGAACACTGCAAAACATTAGCTTTCACTTCTCTAGATCTGGACTTTTTGAAGTAAACTTGGACTTACTCAAGAAAGTCGTGGCCTTGACAAATGCATTACGCACAATGATAGTTTCCTCAACTGTCTTACACTCATTTTTGAGCTTAGAGAATGCAATTATCCGAAAATCGCGTTTTCATGGGTCGAGTTCAGAGCCGCGTAAAGTTCCCTACAAAGCGCTTTCTGCAACTTCGGTGGAATTCGTAGAAACCAGAAGACTTCCCCTACAGATCCATATATAGCAACCCCTATCAGCCCTCTGACACTCTCTTAAAATATGGCACCAACATCAAAGGCGCAAAAAGCGAAAAAACTTCCCGAATGACCTAATATATTTGATAGTAACGAGAGCTAGTACTATTAAACGTACTTGCTAGTCCAATGGCCAATGAAAGCGGAGGAAGTTTTACTGAAATTAGAATAGGCCTCCTATCCCTGATCTAGAAACTACGAATTTTTCAGATTCATGCGGACTACAGAGAAGCTCCACACGAATTCTTCAAGTATCTGGAGGATAAGTAAGTGGATCACGTTTGATATTTTTTGGAAATCGTTTTACCGTAGGACTATACGCAAAGATAAAGGAGGAATGTGGGTGTGTCTGCTATCTGGAGCCACTGTGGTATTCGAAGCATATCTGGAGGCTTACAAACGGGTGAGTTTTTTGCGAAGTTATGTTTGTTTTTTTGAGATCCGACCTTTTTAATCTGGAGTCTGCCTCAAGAAACTCACTTTTGAACAATGTCCGCTTGTGCACTGTGAAAGGAAAAGAAAGGAATGTTAGCGAAAATTTGTGGAATGTTCGGGCTTTCAGAACAGGACAAATGACATCTCGGAACCTGCGCTTGAGTACCATGCACAATTCCTTTTGGTGCAGTTCAACCACAACCTCAAAGAGGTGAGTTTGAGATTTTCTCCTTTACTAAGGAAGCGCTACTTATCGTGAGTTTTAGGTTCGACGTTGCGCAGATGCTTGCTTGTCTCGTCTGGTGGATAAATTCCCATATCTTTTGTGGAATGGTCACGTGCTAACAACTGCCTTACGACTTCTCCAGGTTGCGTATGCCAGTGATAAACAAAGCCTATTCAAAGTCCTGAACTTAGGCGTTGCAAGTCAATCTCCTGCAAGATGCCACATGCAGCGACCCTACCTTTACCATGGATGGATTGCCGTGGACTATACAATTACAGGTGCTGATCGCTTGTGCATGAAATCACGAAAATTCTCTTCTTCTAGGATACAATTGAAGGCCGTGCGTCTGTGGTCAAGGATTTCTCGCAGCGTTGTGAGCAAATCTTACAAGAAGCGATGAAATGGGCACCAGCCATCACTCATAGTCATCTCTTGGTATGTTTCCGTCCATTGCAGTTCGCAATTTCTCGTCCTCGCCTCGTTTTGAAAGATTTATAACTTTGAGTCAGTTGCTCGACCCATTTCTAGAAAAGTATTTACTCATCTTTGCCCATCTATAGTCCTACGCATTGCGTTTCAGGAATATGCGTCTTCCTATGGAGCTTCATCTGATACTTCCTTGAAATTGGCAATGGATGCAGTGATCAGCGCTGGTTCGGATAACACAAGCATGTATCTTTCATCTTTGCATATGAGGAGCATGTATCTTGGCCAGGTTGGTGCACGAACCAGTCATCTGGTGTGCTGTCTTCGTCTTAATCTCTGCTGATGCTTTTTCTTTTCAGGTAAAAGGTATGCTCGCTTCACGCGCTGCTGACGAAGATGAAACTCCAGAGGTTACGCTTATAAAACGTCTAGAATCAGACTTTGAGAGGGCAATTGTCTCTGGAAAACACGAGGAACTGAAAAATGCAATCATGCTGCTCACAGCTCTTTTCGTGACTTTGAAAGGTAGGTCATTGATTTCAGGTGGTTTGACATGTTTTCTAGTTGCTATAACAGAAGGGCGAGGAATTTATGCAAAAATAAATCCAGCGAGTCGTACAGGTATTCAATGAAAAATTAACTTATTTTTTGTTTCCTATGTTTCTCTACAGCTTATAACGCTATTCTCTTCTGGGCTTGGGCAATCTGCATTGCGAATTGAAGAGACTAGTTTTCCTTTTATAGAGGTCAGCGAACATATACTTGGTATCCTGGTGCGATGTCCACTTCGCAGTTTCAAAGAATCTACCGTGCAGCTGTGTACACTCAGCTGGAATTGGTTATTAGCGGCTAGGACGGACATACAGAATATAGTAGGTTTCTTCCTAAAAATTGGTTATTTTTTGTTTACAATGTTTTCTTTTCCGAGATCAATTCTTGGAAAATCATACAATTTTTTTGTAGTTTTTGCGCGAGATGTGCCTAGCATGGGCAGAATCCGCTCGACAAGGACGTGGTTTATACGAGCGACAGCCGAAGCCACCATCGCCTCTGTGCGAGCAATTGAAGTCGCCTGCAAAACCGCCACACTACCAACCGCATGCGATATGGCTTAATGTGAGTCAACCTTCTCCCTAATTTTTGCAACACCTAGTTACGAAATGTTCTATGTTTGTTCTTTCATCATTTTTCATTGCCCAGCTATCCATTCTGAACACACTGTTTTGAAAATCCTTGTTCACCGATAGTCTTGACTATTTCAGTTCATCGCCGAACGTGTTGATGTAGCGAAATACAGCAGTCGTGAGCAAGTCGACATTTTGGAAACTATGTTTGCCCAAACTTTGAGTCTGATTGTTGGCAGTGGGCCAGCAACGGTGGCAATGTCTCCGGCCCTTTCTACTCCAGTTTATGACCAGCAAGGTGAACGCATATGGTGCACGTTTTCTCTTTTGATTTTTTTCGAAAGCAACATTTACAGTCTCTTTGACAAGGAACATAGAAGCTGTGGGAGTACGCTTCCGATTGCTCTCATGTGCACTAAATATGCTTCAAGGAGAGGTGACAGCTTCGAGGCCTTCAAACAATGTGATCCGACAGCGCATTTATGCATCCGCTCTCGATTATTTCACGTCGGTGTGATATATACTGTAGGTTTATGCAGAAAAGTTTTACTTTAGTCAACCCCCTCAAGGACCGACACAAAGCACCGCCCAGCTGAAAGCCGACATCAAATTGTTGATTTCATTCTGGCAAGTCCTATACGCTGATGGAAAATACATCAAAAAAGAGATCTTTCTTTCGCGAGGTGGGTTGGAGGCCGAATTTCTTATGCATCAATACCACATTTTAGTTTTTGAAGTATGTACATTACATTCAGTCTGTTTGCGTCGGCGTAAGTGATCATAAAATTCTGACAGTACTCTTGGTTCAACTTAATTCATCTCATTTCAATAAATAACAAATGCAGCGAGCACTTTAGTTTGAGCCCAGCGATATTGTGAATTCATTTGAGTCTGAAGTATAATTAGACCCTGATTTTAGATAACGAAGTAGGAGTTGCTGCAAACCTCAATCAATTGGAGCCTTACGGAGACCAAATGCAAAGGTATCATTTGACGACTTTCCTTTTTACATCTCTACGTCGTTCGGAAAAAAGTGTCAAATTATCATGTATAAGTTCTTCCAGATCGGGCACGCAAACTTGGCATGCTGCTGCATCAAACAGTACTTACTATGTGAATACCCTCACATTGTCGAAGAATGCTCTGACGTCTTCTACACGGGGAAGTAAGCGTTTAAGATTGATCTCAGCATTCTGAATTTTTTGTATCGACTAGCAAAAACCGCATCTTTTCTAAACTCAAAAGACATTGTTGACTGCAAACCAGTTTTTCTAATCCAAATTTTTCTTGTAAATAATTTGAAAGAAGAATTGGTGCGGGTTTTATTGGCTTCTTCTGCGAATTTTTTTTCTATCAGTTGCTTGTCTTTCGGAGAATTTGAAAGAATTCTATGAATTGCTTGTATGCTACTCTTACCGGTCAGAAATAGACTGAGTAGATGCATTTCCTACAAGGGAGGTCAACTTTAGGTGTGACTTTAGGTGTATCACGAAAGCTGACAGATAATGGTAAAGGCTCATTGGATGTTGAAAAGCAAGTCAAATTATTCTTGAAGTGGAGAAATCTTATCCTTCTGCTCGTGGTAGGTATCCTTAGGTTGCTTTGATTGCATGAGACGCTTAGACCATGAATTTTTCAAGGGTAATGAAGTAGAACGTCTTTGCGCTTGGCTAAATCCTCTAGGTGATGCGACGGAAGAAGGTGTGGCTCCGATAGAACAATGGATGAAGAGCACATTGCCAGGTATTCTTGTGTAGATCGCACTTCATGTTTAGCTTGATGCGAAATTCACATACAGAGGCGAGGATGGAGGCAAGAATTCTCAAAGAGAACGCTAGATTGGCTTGGGATATCTCACCAGAATTAGCGGTTAACCTACCATCCAGGTAAGAGTCTATAGCAATTGGTTCGCTTTTTTAAGTGAAAAGAAAATGCGAACGTCTACTTTACTTCTGTAGATCACTTTCTCATATCTTCTTTTCTCTAATAATTGTTTCTAGATTCCGTACGTGTCCAACTCTTCGTGATACTCTCCAGGATATGGTACACAGCCAGCCTGAGTCGGTTTCTCACATACCCGAGGCACTCTCGTTGTTTTTGGGTGATGGTTCGGCGTTCGAGCATGCTGATGTAAGCATTATCGTTTTCCTCTTTTCTTCCTCATATGGAATTTTTTTCCTATCAGATCTCTCATGTACTAACATGGGCCACTTGTTCTCCCGTTATGGCCCTGTCGCTGCTGACACCGCGACAGTTTCCACTTCATCCTGTTACGGTACAGTATGCCGTACGAGTTTTGCGATCTTATCCTGCTGACACCCTGTTGATGTACATACCACAGCTGGTTCAGGCGGTTAGGCATGATAATGTGAGTCCGGGGATTTTGAAGCTTTTTGGCCATTTGTACGATGTAGCACAAGAAAATGTGATTTAGATTGGATATGTGGCTGAACTGATAGTTTGGCTTGCTGGACATTCACAGCTCCTTGCTCATCAACTTACCTGGAACATGGAGACAAATATGTACACCGATGAAGATGGCAAAAACAAGGATCCTGTGTTATATGATGCCCTCAATGATATCAAGAAGAAGGTGATAGCAGCCGCTTGGAATGGCGCAAAGATTCAATCATCCATCATTTAGATTGCAAACCAGGTGGAAGGAGCCGCGAGGCGGTTTTACGAGGCAGAGTTTGCACTTTTCCATCAGCTGACAGGAATATCCGGAACGATAAAACCTTATGCAAAAGGAGATGCAAGGAAGAAAGCTTGTTTGAAAGCTTTGGCTGAGGTGCGTAAGCTGAAAATGGCCTAGTGGGTGTAGCATGAAAGAGTAACCCTCTTTAGGTCAAATTAGAGACCATCACTTACCTCCCGTCAAATCCTGAAGCCATTTTACTAGAAATAGATTACTCTAGTGGAAATCCTATGCAAAGGTATGTTAATCTTGTACTTGGTAAATCTCAGCCCAAATCATCTATTAACAATATCCGAGATTTTCTTTGCAGCGCAGCGAAAGCTCCTTATTTGGCAAGATTTAAAGTGAAGCAATGTGGAGTCCAGGAATTGGAGAGAATAGGCTTGGAGGTGGAATCACCTTTGCAGAGCATCCTGTTTGAGAAATTCTTTTAAACTCTTTGCTTCAGGCTCAATCTCGTGAGAAAGGCAAACCTCCACCACCTGAAGCTGACTTGAACGAATTGAAAAGGGCTGGTGGACCAAATATCTGTTGGCAAGCTGCCATATTCAAGGTATCTGATCCTTAATCTTCGGCTAAAAGCTCAGTTTATATGCTTTCAGGTTGGTGATGATGTGCGGCAAGATATGCTAGCGCTTCAATTGATGCAATTGATGAAAAATGTCTGGGCTGGCGTTGGACTCCCCGTCTGCGTGTTTCCGTATAGGTGGGACTTCTTACATAATTTTAGACTTTTTTTGGATGTGAGTAATTTCTAAACATCCTGAGTTTTTCAGAGTTGTTGCTACTTCACCAGGATGCGGCGTGATTGAATGTGTTCCAAATTCGAAAAGTCGCGACCAGTTGGGTAGACAAACCGATTTCGGTAAGTCTACAAGATCATTCTGGTAAACTAGGAAAATATCCGCGCTTTATGGCTTTGCCTATTTTGTATGAGTGTCTCTGTTTCCAGGCCTATACGAATATTTCAAGACCACTTATGGAGATGAAAGTAGCGAGTCTTTTCAGGTAAATTACAATTATAAACTCTCGTATCAGCAATTTTTATTGGGGAACATGTTTATTTTCGCAGGAAGCAAGAAGGAACTTCGTACGGAGCATGGCTGGCTATTCAGTGTTCAGCTTTTTGTTACAAATCAAGGACAGACATAATGGAAACATCATGATCGATCTTGATGGGCACATTATTCATATTGGTAGCCTTTGTCATGGTTTTCATTGGCTACGAAAAACCTGGTTATTGCAGACTTTGGCTTCATGTTTGAAAGTAGTCCGGGAGGCAACCTTGGTTTCGAACCGGATTTCAAACTCAGTGAAGAGATGGTAGCAATCATGGGTGGTAAAATGGAAGCGGCTCCATTTAGACAGTTTGCCACACTTTGTGTTCAGTCATACCTGGCAGTGAGACCGTATCACAAGGTAAGAGGGAAAAGTCTGATTTTACTAATCTGCTTGAGACTTTATGTTTTTTATTTTTGTTTTTTTTTAGTTCTGGCTATAATGTGAACTTTCTTAGGCTTTCGTCTCTTTGGTCTCACTGATGTTGGACACTGGTTTACCATGTTTCCGCGGAAAGACTATCCAGCAATTGAGAGCACGATTTGCGCCAGAAATGAACGAACGGGATGCTGCGCGGTAAGCATTTATTTTTTCTCCTTTTTATTTTTGGATTACTTGATCAAATTGATGGCAATTTTTTAGATACATGCATTCCGTGATTACAAACTGCTTCTTGAATATCAGAAGCAAGATGTACGATCAGCTGCAGTATCTGCAAAACGAGATACCGTACTAGAGACTCGAACCCGACTCAACAAGAAAATTATGGAATTGTACGTGTACAATGCATATTGGTGCTTCCCGAATACGGCTTGTTAGATTAGACGCGTAGAACTCAACTTCAAGAAATGATATCCTCATCTTGTGGTGGTCTACTAGAATTAGTCTTAGGAGCTCTCTACACATGCGCAAACCCAAGTTATTCGACTGAATATAATCAGGGTGGGTGTTAGGTGCGGGGTCATTATTGTTTGCGCCAAGTAGGTTGGAGTAATAAGTAGCGCATGCTTTGGCTAGATAAATCCTTATTTTTCTTTACTCTATTCGATTCGATAAAATAGTTTTCAAATTTTCTTGATGACTAGTCCGGCAACTTTTTGGACTACTGTAAATCCCTCTTTCTCGTTCTTTTCTTTTGCTGCTGAAAATAGCCTTACTAGGCTTTGAACAACAATACCTTTTTTGTTGTGCACGAGAAATACATTCCATTCCACCAAATATGCTTGTCAATTTTATCTCCGCCTGACCTCGACAAGTCGCAATCAGTTACAAAAATCTTTACTATTTGTGCAAAATACTGGCCTCTCGACCAAAGCAATGCTATTTGCATAACTTTGCATATGCTAGTCTTTCTTTGTAATAAATTTCCTTCATTTTCTCTTTTCGTTGTTTTCTTTTTCGCTCGAGAATTTCTTGTCGTGTTGTTAATGTAATAACATCCCACATTCCTTGATATTGTTAAGATGTAGATAGAGTTGCATATTGCTTTATTCTAGTGTTTGCGACATAGCCATAACTTTATTATCTTGCTGCAATTGTAATAAAAAGTGCAATGCTACTTTTCTTCTTTGCAGTTGAAGAAAAAGAAAAGTTACAAATGAGATTCCTTCAAAAATTGACAGATCAGATTGGAGGTAAAATGTTCTTTCTACGCATCCAGATATCATTTAGAATAGATTATACAATGAACTGCATGGTTTTGTATTACATTCCGCGCCTGTCCAGATACCTCATGTACGACGGCATTCCACCTCCGAGTGCCCCTCGGCGAATGGCATCGATATATTCGGCAATGTTTCGCTCATCGTAGAAACGTTTTTGGAAAGCTTCGCGATCTAAAAGAAAAGGGTAGGATGAAGTATAGTTTGGTCGGAAACTCAGCAGAAAGAAATTTGTGTGGTTGGTTTATTAACGCAGACAATACACCATCCGCGTCCATGTGAGCGGCGTGATTTCGCTATCTGCGTATCTTCTGCTCATGTACTCTCTCCCGGGAGACGGCCCTTCTGAACCCACCTGAACCCACAGTGCGCTACAGTAATTCAATATGTGGGGCGCGAGCGCTCGCGCTGCGTTTGACGCGGACGAGTCGTTTCCTAATTTCGAAAGTTGCTCTCCTTCGACTGAGTAACATACAACCTGGACACATCGAGCTTATCTTGCGGACTTTGCTATTATTCGCTGTTGCCCCCCTAGTTCTGCTATCTGCTGCCTTTAGCTGTAATACTAGTTCGAAATCGAATACTTTTATAAAGGTAAGTTGTATTTTATGGCCAGAGGAGCACTTTAGTGAATTTTGTTTGATCTTGTTCGTCTTTTCATCATTGAAAAACGGCTTGACGTTCATAGTAGATACTTTCGGATGTTTCAACATAAATTAGCATAATTCTCCTCTTTCATCCTCTAAAATGAGCAAAGAATCTGGTCCTGGACAGTTGTTGGGGCCTTTCAAAAGTATTACCTCTTTAGTAGTTATTTTTTTTTCATTTCTTAGCTTTTTTTGTTTTATAGTCATTAGGTTCTAATTTAAAATGATAAGTATTGAAAATTGTCATCATGAAATGAAGTGAAGTTCTCTTCCTTGTGCATTAGACTGCAGACCCGTTCCTTTGCTAAAGTGCTCAGCTGATCAGAAACAGTCCGATTGTCAAAGAACTGTCTGTTATAAAGTTCTTGTCAACGTATGAAGATCTAGGCCTTTACACAGGTTGTCATGAATTTTTGAAACCATGAACCCTGTTTAGAGTGCTAGACAATCTCGTTTTGGAGAATGCGTTTGATAGTCATTGTTTTTATGCAGTAAGACAAAAAATATTGCAGGGTTTTTTTGTCTGGAATCTGCGAGTTTGCACAGACGCAGGGTCTGTATCTCAATGAGCTTCTTAACATGATCTCGGTGGGGTCGAAAGCACTCTTTCTCGCCATTCTTTTAGTTAAACTGCCTACATTATAGCAGAGTATTCAGTTCTTGCAGTTTACGAGTAGGTATAGACAGAACAGCATGTGAGTTTTCGAGTTGTAAAATGGGAAAACGGCAGGATTGCAAAAAGAGGGTTCGCGGATGTTGTAAACATAGTCATTTTGTCAATGATTTCCAAATCCTCATACAATCACTGGAATAGCAGATTAACCCAAATGCTGGCTGCCAGCTACCATTTACCGGAAATTTTCGTGGTTAATGAAACTTTTCTGAAGTTTGTCTGCTCTAAGTGTACGCCGCGGTCTTCTTGTGGCGTCTTTCGTGGGTGTATGAGTGTAAGTGCACGCGGTACGCTGACGACGAAACTCGTCCGAAACTGCGACGCGGCTGGACAGGTCAACTGCTCGCTTTGGCGCGGCAGCCAATCACAGCGTGACCTTTGCGGCGGGCTGACCTATCACTATCATCGCGATTAGAGCGGGTTCAGAAGGGCCTACACCCCTCTCTCCCTCTCTCTCTGCGCAAGAGCATGAAGTCGTAGTCGGCGCACCGCATGCGTTGTCTGCATTGGCAAGGATGAACAGAGCCATTGGAGGCAAAAAATGAAGCTTTTTTACTCACAGTCTCTCTTTCACAAAAAATCTTTTGCTTTGTCGGTTTTTACATGGCAGACAATTCTCTAATTTGTCTGTGCTTTCTTCCTTTATTTCACTTTCAACTCCTTGGAGATCACGGAACTATTCCTCATTTAGGACAGAGCTTCATTAGCGCACTGAGATTAATGTCTAACAATAAGTTTTTCTGCAAACAAAAAAAAAAAACAGGGAGTCGCAAATCATATGGTTCCAAAAAGTTTAGGGCTGAAGCTACTGATGGCAGGGTCTTTTGAATAAAAAAGAAACGAAGAATATCTTCTTACCTTCTGGCGCCAAATAGAAGGCGTCTACCACACAAATGATGAAGTTGATGAGAACCACAAGGAGAACGAATGATCGCAAAGAATTCATACCTGAACGGTTGGCAGTTAAAGGTATATCGGCAGTTATAACAAAAAAGTGGGCAAAGAACGTAAATGTGGGATGCGAGGGTAAAGATAGCAACTACTCGCGGCGATAAAAAAAATATTGCATTCAAATCTCTGTATCATTTTTGCGATCTAAAAGATCATTGTCTGTACTTCAAAAAAATATCTCTCTCTGATGGTAAGCTAATCCAAATACAACAATTGCAAGATTTCCGAAATAAATCAAAAACCAGGCAAATAAAAGATTAAGAAGTGATATCAGGCCACATGCAGTATTCTGCGTTTCACACTGATTGCAATAAAAGCTCGAAAAATTGGCTTTTGTAAGAAATTTGCTGAAGCTCCTTCTCACATATGGGAATGCGAAAATTCTCAAACTGCTGAAATAATTTCAGTGTTGCTTGCCATGTGAGCAAAGTCATAATTATCACACTACCATCTACCATGTACAATTGCTGTGAGACGAAAAAGAACTTGGAAATCCAAAAAAGCGATGCTTTGTAGGGTTACCTTCATCATCTTTTTATATTATTTTTTTTTACTTGTGACAGAAAAACTTCTCAATTAGCCAAAATATATGTTACGTTTGAATATATAAGGATTTGCAGGAAATAGAAAAGACTGTTAGGGAATACTTGTTTGGCTATAGACAGCAGACGTTCATTTGAACAAAAGTAAAAAAATCAATAAAAAAATTTTTTTTGGAATAATCGTGCCATCGAACTGTACCAATTTTTCTTGTTTCGAAAAAGTGTCAGAGAGCTAAAATCAAACTCCACTTATGATTTTAGGCTCTTTTGCAACAGAATTTTCAAAATTTAGCACTCATGATCATCACTATAATTGGGAGATCAGAAATTCTTCAAAAATTTTGGTGCAGTACTTATGTTTCGAACTAGCATGAGTTTGGTGCCATACTGAAACAGATACGTCTTCTTCAGTGATTTACCTTGAACTTTACCATCATATTTTGAAGCAAAGTTTTTTAAACAAATTTGTATTGCTTTGATGCAAAAGTAATGCGTTCGTTATGCGACAACGCAGTGTGAATATAAAAAAGAGGAAATAGTACACCGTTCGATAACAAATCAAGATCTATAAGGCCCCAGATTTTCACAAAAGTTGTGATTCGCTTCATGTTGGAAGTAACAAACTTAAACACCTCAAAGATCGGATCACAGCCAAAAAATTGTACAAGCCTCCGACCATCATACGCATATCTAAGACCAGTAGGGAGGAGGGGGGGGGGGGACAAAAATTTTTTTGAATGATGACTTCGAAAATATTTTGGGATGTTTCCGAAGATTTTTGCTGGTCCATGACCCCAAATTTCTAAAAAGGGGAGCAGTCAGCCATGCCCCGGAAGGATCTTTCTAAGAAGCTAATTTGTATTTCAATTATTAGGTTGTCCCATATGTCGTTTGATTTTTGAGTTTTCGCTATAATAAGTCATACACTTCTTATTCTAAATAGTCATCAAAATACCATTCGATAGAGCAGAGCAAGCTCTATAAGATGGCTTTTATGCTTTTGCACAAGCTTTGGTCCATCTCCAGTTTCAAACCAAAATCTGAAAAGTTTCGGATGCCCAGAAACCGAAAATTTTTTATATCTTCGTTCAAAAAAAAATCCTACAAATCTCTAACTTGCTCACGCAAGTTGAGATTGAGATACATTCAGACATTCATATGTGCAGTTGCTATATCTTTTTATCAGCTAGAAATCAAGAAAGCGAAAATTTCCATGTTTTTACCAAAGTGATGCTGTGCTGTTCTTACACTAACAGTTGTATACTACAAGCCCTTAGAGGTACAACTGTAAATTTTTAGCTCTCTATAACTGTGGTTCTGAGAGATGTTGATTTAAGCGTGAAAAACCCGAGTGAAGAAAGCTGAATTTAATATTTCTCGTGAACCAGAGCATATAGAGAGCCAAAAATCTACTAGTACTTCTAAGGGCTTCTAGTATACAAATCTTAGTGTAAGAACAGCACAGCATCTCTTTGGTAAAAACATGGAAACCTTCGGTTTCTTGATTTCTAGCTGATAAAAAAATACAGCAACAGCACATATGAATGTCTGAATGTATATGCGTGAGCAAGTTAGAGATTTGTAGGATTTTTTTGAACGAAGTTATAAAAAATTTTCAGTTTTTTGGCCATCCGAAACTTTTTAGATTTTGGTTTAGAACTCGAGATGGGCCAAAGCTTGTGCAAAAGCATAAACGCCTTCTTATAGAGCTTGCTCTGCTCTATCGAATGGTATTTTGGTGTCTATCTAAATAAGAAGTGTGTGACTTATTATAACGAGAACTAAAAAATGAAAAGACTTATAGGACAACCTATTATTTGCACGTATGGACAAATCACTTGCACATTTTCATAACCCATATAAGTAACATGTGAAAGTTTCGCGACCATTTTCTACCCCTCCCCCCCCCCCCCCATCCCCTCGCCGTCGCGCTACTGGTTATACACATAAAAGATACATAATGCAGTAGCTGGGATCTTTTGTCGAAAGAAGAGAAAAAATGATTTGAAAGTACGAAAATATCGCCTTCTTTGGGTTCCCTGCGCTAAATGTAATATTTTTCGATGATTCTGATACATATAAGGCACATTTGCAACCTAGTATAAGTGTGATATATGGTTATGGAACAAGCAGAGGCAAAGAAAAGTAAGTTTGATTTAGTTTTTATTTTTGAGTTTGTGGTAACCAGTCTAGGAGATCAGTTGGGTAAGAACTAAGTATGCACATTACTGCACTTCAGAAATTTATCGCGTGCGTAGTAGTAGCAGGAAATACGGTAATGAATTCATCGGTTAATAAAGTGAGTACGTATGTAGTTCGAGTTAAAAACACATGTATAATTTATAATTCGCAGAGACATGTGCGGAAACAGTCTGATCGTATTAGCATCACGTCACCACTTAATTTTCTTGACAAGAAGTGTCATTATTTAAACTCAGTAATTTTGAGTAACTTGGAAAAGGGGAAGTTTTTTAAATTTATTGCTTATCCGCTGATATGCAATAAAATGGGTCTTTGCATGATGAAAAAAGAATGGAAAAAGAACTGACATTTTGCCTTCCATCAAGTACATCAAGTTGAAAATTTGTGTGGTTATCAAATTGACAACGTCACAGCAGCTCACTTAGCGGTCGGAAATAATTGTTAAAATTTGACGGTAAGTGAAATTACGTCGACTTTTTGTCAATCCACAGTGTGCTTTTTTGTCTACTTAAAAAAGTAATCATTATTAATTCAACGTGGATGAAAGATGGGTTCAAAAGTAATGTCTTTTGTTCATCTGATGCTCTAATTGTGTACAGGAAATCAGAAGAAATCGAGTAAAGTGAGAAAAATCAAAAATTGCTTCCAATACTTATACCGTCGTAGATCATCGACATTGCCAAGTTTTGAGGGTGCCCTTCTCAAAATCTCTTGTCCTGAACTCTTACGAAAAACTTAAAATACCATTTTGTAGAGCTGGGTTCAATTTAGATTTACAATATGGGGTAAATGCTCTTCATTACTGTAGGATTACGATATGTTTCGTCGTAGTCGCTGTGATAAAGCAACCGTTTCAAATATTTTCGAAAAAGATCTAAATCTTGTCAGGATCTCAACGGCGCTGAGTTTGATGCTCAACTTTTAGAGATTTTGAAGCTTTGTAACCATATTTTTTAGAAACATCGGAATAAGAATAACGGCTGCCACTGCTTATTTGGCATAACTTTTTAAGGAAGCATTATGATGAGATGAAAAGTTCATATCTAAACTCAGCAACTCTAACTAACCTAGTAGTTTTTTGTGAGTTTTTAGTCGCTTTGTTATTTTTTTTTGAAATCAGATATATGCCCTACATGGCTCAAAACTCTTGTCATAGTCCCTACCGTAATCCTACAGTATTATGTGGCTTCGAAAAAATTTCAAAAATTAGCTCACAAGTATGGCCTTACAGTCACCTTAAAGAATAAGGGAATTGTCAACTAAACTAGCGAACCTCTATTGGTGATTCAAGTACTGTAAATGCTGCGGGTTTCTCAATACTTTATAAGCAAGTAATATGAAGAAAAATTCGAGAAATCTGCGATGCTAACCTGGGGGAGGGGAACTAGTACTTTATAAGGACAGCTATCTAGCTGTGACAGCATCAATTAAGCTGCTTTCACTCAGACCTTTCTATCAGTGAATTTAGATAAAAATAGTCAAGTGCGTCAAGATTATGTTGTGTACAGTATATTTTCACGTTATTACACTATTTGCTAGTATACAGCAAAACATTATGTACTTAAAAATTTTAGCGACAGCACACCACCGTGAAAAGGCAGAAAATATTGCAAAAGGAGACTTTTTAGATGAGATTGATAGAGTGACGTATATCTAAGCTCGTTAGAAATTCAGAAAAAAAAAACAAACCATTTGGGTATTGTAAATTAATCGCAGTAAAAAGTTAAACGTGGCTTGTAAGGCTAATATTGTAATAAAGCAAAAAGAAGACATCTGTAAATTTCTTTTTCTCAAATTGTTTGTTTGTAATTTTCTTTCGTGATGGGCGTGAACTCGAAAGCGGATTGAATATCAACTATTAGGTTCTCCAAAGTAAACTCCATTTTCAAGTAAATGGGGCTGTTTCTGTTTTCTCAGCAGACTTAGGGCTTTATCTGCTCTACCGAATGATACCCTAAGTCTGTTAAGAAAAAAAACTACTTGAATTTAAAAAAGGAGTTTAGTTTCGGGACAACCTAATAGAACCAACAGCTTCGCAAATAATGTGCCTTAGTCAAGACAACAACCAGAACCGAATACTTGTCAGATTCGAATGCATACCAAATTTTTTGTGAGATAAACGGGCTCAGCCGGCGTGAAAATGACAAATGAACTAAAATCTACCAAGGGCGCTGTATGTTACGTATCGAAGATCTTTTAGAGACTTATTCAAGCACAAAATGTTGGTCGATGCTTTGTTTGATCCTCATTC